TGACCACCTCTCCGCTTTTTCCAACCAGTCCCAGAGTCGGCAAATAGTGCACGACGTGGAATTCTCTGGGACAATATTCGTAAAGCATGTCCATGCCACCGAAATCGGTGTTTCAAGATGATGACACCAATTGCATTATCGTCTCTGTGCCCGAACACACGATGCCGAACCTCTGCATTACTAACATGGTGTTGCCACTGGGTGTCAGCAATCCTTCGGAGACAGCGATGATCGAACACAGAGAGTCGTCTAACATCCTCAACTCGGAGAGGCCAGGTTTCACAAGCATAGAGCAAAACTGCTCTCACCGTCGCGTTGTAGATCCAATCTTTTACAGCCAGACTAGCATCACGAAGGTGCCAAAGGTGGCCCAGATTAGCATAAGCCGCTCTGGCTTTCACTATACGAGCATTGATCTCATCACTCACACCACCACCAGCACTTATGCAGCTACCTAGATACACGAACTTCTCGACTACTTCAATCTGCTCACCATCCAGAGTGAGTACAGGATTAGAATCCTGCCAGTCTTGTAGAAGTACTTTGCACTTCGAAGGTGTGAAACACACACCGTACCTACAAACACTGATTGCCAACTGATTAAGTGCGGATTGCATGGCTTGGGCATTCTCGCACAGTAAGACAATATCATCCGCACACTCAAGGTCGAGAAGTCTTTCTCCAGGCAACAGATCCACACCACCATTACTTACATCCGTCAGAGCTGTTTCCAGAATGTCATCAATGGCAAAGTTGAAGAGGAATGGTGAGATTGGGCAACCCTGCCTAACCCCACTGCTTGAATGGAATAATGGAGAAAGGTGGTTGTATGCCCTCACTCTGTTTGAGGTGTTTGTGTATAGGGATTTTAGGATGTTAATAAACTTCTCAGACACACCCTTCTTGAATAGGCAATCCCAGAGAACAGTCCCATCCAACGAATCGAAGGCAGCCTTGATGTCAAAAAACACTACGATTGTTGGCCTTTGATAAGTATGGCGGTGTTCTAACATTTGGCGGAGGGTGAAGATATGATCAATACATCCTCGACCAGAACGAAACCCAGCCTGCTCCTCGCGAGTCAATCCTTCTCGGGTTTTGAACAACCTACGAAGTATGACGGAAGCCAGTAGCTTGGACGCGACCGGAAGTAGACTTATCCACCGATAGTTGTTACAGGAACGACGCGAACCCTTTTTAAAGATAGGGACAACTATCGACTCATTCCATGACATTGGTACACTCTCTAGTTCCCAGACCTTTGTAAACAACGTCGTCAGTCCCTTAGTCAGAAAGTCACAACCATCTTTAAAAAGAGCCGGAGGTAGGTCGTCTGGGCCCGGTGATTTGTAACGTTTCAAGAGTTGGAGTTCCTTGCGGACTTCCGCCTCATTTGGTGGATCAGTCTTCACCGGCCATGGAGGGCAGGACAGTCTGACCGACGTTGCCGGAGCAGCAGGCCAGTTGAACTGTCCTTCGAAAAATTCTGCCCATCGTCCAAGACGTCGATGGATGTTAGTGATTGGCGTTCCGTCATCCTCGCAGATCGTTTCGCTCACACCAGACTTCTTGCTGCCAGTGGCTTGGATGAGTTGGAAGAGCTTCCGGTAATTACCAGATGCAGCTGCTGCTTCCAACTCACTGGCACGCTCCGACCACCAGGCTTCTCGGTCCTTACGCAAGCTTTGCCTGATTTCATTACGTAACTGTCGTCGTTTGTGGTCAAACTCACGGTCACCCGGAGTAGACCGACGGGCTTCAATGAGTTGTAAAGAACCAGAAGGAACCCAGTGCTTATAAGCGGGACGTTTCGCAAACCCACAACAGACTGTACCCGCCATTTTCATGGCGTCATGCAATTGCAACCAATGCTCATCTATACTTTTCGGTGGAATGGTAGCTAGCCTAGAAGCTAGCTCTGTTCGGTACATACTAGCAACAGAAGTTGCAACCAGCTTGCTAACGTCAATCCTTTGGTGGCGGTCACTTCGTTGTCCACTGAAAAGTAAGGTGAGATTGGCGCAGACCAGAGCATGATCAGATTCCAGATAGGTACTCCAAAAGGAGCGGCAGTCTTGTACACAACCACGCCAGCGGTAGCTGATCGCGATGTGATCAATCTGAGTCCAGGCTTGAGATGCAGAGGGAGGACGCCAGGTGGCACATCGGCGATGACTGTGCCGAAAGTTATTGCTAGCCAGAAACAGGTTGTGGTCTGTGCATAGTTGCCGTAGACGTTCCCCGTTATATGTCCTACGACCAACAAGTCCCCATTGGCCACATAAACGACTCTCTTCTGTGCCTAGACGCCCGACCTGAGCATTCAAGTCTCCGGCTAGTACTATAATATTTGTCGAACTCACTTTCTGGAGAAGAACAGTTAACTGGTGGTAGAATTCATCCTTGATTGCATCCGGGCTTCAATCCGTCGGGGTATAGGCGGAAATGACGAAAAGACATCGTTTCTCACGCCGATTTCTTCTCACTTTGATGGAACTTTCTAATCTAACAGCACATAACCGACTGTTAATGGGGATCCAGTCGACTAGTGCTGCCTCAGCTCTTGCGCTTAGTGCGACACCAACGCCAGCAAGACCAGACGAAGATGCCACGGGGTCCCCGGATAAACGCACATAAAACAAGCTTTTTGAAGTGACAGATGGAGAGCGAACTTGTAGTACTTCACAAGAGTCGTGAATACGGGTCTCGGATAGACAACAAACGTCGATATTAAGACTTTCCAAAGACATAGACAGCCCTATCTGTTGTCCGACCTGCATAAATGTGCAAACGTTGAAGGCAGCCAGTATGAATGGTGCGCGTGGTTTTATAAAGACTGCTTCAGTACTCGTATTCGATGGTAACATACAATTTTCAACCAGGCAGTGACTCGAGAACGTTTAGATAGAGCCGAATGTCCACCATAGTCGAGCTGCTGTATAAGTCGAAAAATAAGGATAGACAGAGTGGGAATGAAAGAGAGTGAATAGATGACGTGGTAAATAATAATAATGTTAATTGTTTGACGATAAATCGCAGCGTGAACAGAGTTTTCAGAGAAGATCATCATTTTCATTATATTTGTGTGTGGGCTGTGATACTGCCCGGGTGCCCAGACCGAAGCAGGTGGTTTTCTTAGGGGGCCACACCCCGAGCATTCGACCTAAAGATCTAACCCACAAGGCAGTGGAACATCGTGAGATGTAGTCCCATGGAAGCCGGTGACCAAGAAATCGGTTCATACGCCATTTGTTCCTTCAGGATACTGGAGCCCATATGCACCATTGAGCTTATTATCATTGCACTGGACTATTCATGTTTATTCGCTCAAACAGTAATATCTAATATCGGAATCAATAATTATTTCCTGTTGAAATTAACTGGATTTCTGGCCAAGGATAGCACTGAAACTAGGTACTTCTGCTGTCTGTAGGTATTGTTGTAAAAGTCAAATTTACTACCCATTCTATTGTATTGTAATCAGGTATTGCTTTTTAATTATCAAGAAATTCATTCCAAGCAGGTGAAATTCTTGTCGTTTAACATTCCCAGAAACGTGAACATTGTATAAGCAGTCTAGCTCATTTATCTAGATTCATGAGCTTGTAACTAAATTAGATTGATAAATCAACCGAGTCAAGTGTTCACATGGTGTGTTGTCTTTTGGAACATCGTTGCAAATTAGTTATTAAAGCTACACACAACTATCGCTTGTCTGTTGGTCATATGTAACGCTCAACAGTTGCATCAATTTATACATAAATCCATCCGGTTCATTTTCATCTGAAAACCATGTAGTGAAAAAAAGTTGATTTTTCTCATATGACTCATACTCCTATTCGTTGCGCGAAAAGAATCAAAACCAAGCTAGAGAATCCTATGATATGAAGTATTTAGTAACATTAGGTAATCTATCTAATCTTGAAAGTAACGTCACAAATTCTCGTTTGTATTGTTGAGTTAGCGGAACATAAGATGTGAGAATTTCTCGACCCGTAAACGACGCTAATTTTAGGATATTCCTGTTGATTAACTATGAAACTCCAAGCATAAGAGAATTACTCTATACTGCGCTATATGACGATTCAATAAATGAATGCAATTAAGTGAATAAGTACATTTTAGTATATCGAACCTGTGTGCACCCATGTTTTGAGGGCTAGTTTTTGTGCCTGTTTGCTCCTATCTGTGTAGTGAAAATGACTTTCAAACTAAGCAACTACTATGAAATTATTAGCAAGTGTCTGTCAACTTCTGGTTCTATTACAATTAATCTTTGACCGACATAGCGATGTCAGGCAAACACTGACAAAATCCAGTTTCCTGTGACAATTTTAAGAGTATTGTGATACTTCGTATTTGCTAAGTAAGACTATTGGCTATATACCACGCGTGCCTACCCGACAGATGTGAACTCGATTAAACATCCTATCTGCATCGACCCCGATGGATTGTTTGTTGCGGTAACTTCCATTGAAAACTTTCCTCCCGACTATTAATTTCTATTGTTGCGGAGAACAGATACTCTATCGGTCAATACAATCTGGAACGAAAGCTTATTAAACCATTGCTACGTAAGACGATCCACCGGTGGTTCGAGTATTCAACTCTTCATTATCAGGTCATGAATTCACAGTGATTCTATTTCGGATGGTATGTAGATTACCGTTCATCCATACAATCGCTGAAACCCATTTACTAATACATAAACTCACACGCTGTTAAATCTATTGCTTTTCAGACTGATATTCATCTGTTTTTAACTGCAGGTTAGCTATTCGCCAGATGCTGTTCTTTACAATCATCTGAATGCACCACCATGCATTTGTCCACCTATGAAAGTTTCTGATTTAAGTGGGATACCAACCGCTTATACAGATCCATCGACAAAACTAAATTATGCAACTTGTTCCGAGTTTAAAAGAATACGTTATTTGCCCCAGCATATCGTTAACGGGTACCTGGCTTTGAGAGGAGTATCCAATATTTAATAACAACAATGCACTATTAATTTTTATTTTGGAAAGTATTTATTTTTTTGTCTGTGTATAAGATATTGTTCATTCGATTGCAATAGACGCTCCAACCTCTTCCAATACTTTTTTTATTTGCTCAGCTTCGTCCTTGCCCACGTCAGTCTTTATATTGGCAGGTGCACTCTAAAAGACATAATTAAGGTTATCAGTGTGTTATTATTAGGTGTATTTAGAAAAGCAAATTAGCGGCCCTAATATTAAAAAGCTAGATGGATGGGTACTTTTAAATCCAGAATGGTTGTCTAGTGCATCCAACTGTTACTAGCTTTTTGATCAATAGCAATACTTGACACAATATGAATATGCGCTTTTCTACAGAATACAGTAACTAAATAAACGTGTCTTATCGACTGATAAGGTAGTTGAGGCATGTGCTACGTATGCCTAGTTACATCATCCCTGCGCGATTCACTAGCTACCACCCGTGTGTCGAGGACTGTAGATGATATGATTCAAAGTTGGCTACATATACATTCACTATAACTATATGCAGGTCCTAAACAACATTCCAAGCTGCTCTTTCCCCGATTTATTTTTTTCTTTTTGCTTTTATATACAGCTTTTTACTACTGTTCTTAATTTTATGCACACTTTACACTCGCTTCTTACCGTTGTACTGACGAAAAAAAGCAGACACGGATTGATAAACTTGAACTTACTTCTACAAACTTTTTAGCTTGTACAAGATTCATCTCTGGAATAACTTGTTTGATTTCTTTAATAAGTTGGATTTTCTTTGCTGCATCAAATTTCACCAGCTTGACCGAAAATGCTGTTTTCGTAGGCGCTTGTTGTTCTTCAGGCTCTTCGGGGGGTTGGTTTGTTGGCGCTTGAACCATCATAGGCATCATGGGCCCGGTATTCTACATAGGCAGAAAAGAAAAATGGTGTTGCTCAAGACGACATTGAACACTTTGTAATTAAACCACCTAAATCAGGACACAACACTAAAAGGGATGGAATAGTTTAAGCATAATTACTTACAGTATGAGTGCTTCATTAAGAAAAAAAATCCAGATATGATCGAATTGACTTTGATAAAAAAGTAAAACGAGCACAACTCAATAACAGTATACAAAAGTGTTAAACGGTGAAACACTACAGGGAGAATACTAATGTTACAAAGCAAATCCTTAGATGGAGGTCAGGGTACACAACAGAACTGGGAGTTTGTGATAACCTGTAATGTCCAGTTCCCAGCTGCTTAGATCAGTGGAAAACCTATGAGTGAGGAAAGGCTGAACAAGAACTTTGCTGAAGACTAAATAGTCTAAGTCAAGAAATCAAACATCTGAATGTGATTATGCTCAGGGACCTGTAAAAACCCTTCAAATATGTGGGAGCTATTTGAGGAGCTTATAGATTTCAGTTAATTCTTCGAAATGTTTAGGACCTGGCGAAACCCCAAACTTCTTAAAATGTGCTGATATTTTCTCTCACCCACTTACAATCACCTTTAAGGAATCGTTATTAACTAATTTTTTACTTACGATGTGGATAATGAAAATAATCCCAATACCAAAGAACGTATCTGATGGTAGGGATTCAAAGTATAGGACCATGATAATAAATTTACCTCTCCTCAGGACGATGGAGAAACTACTACCCCCACTTGGGCTTGAACTGGATGAGCCTACCGGTCGATATCAGTTTGCCTATACATGTGAACGAAGTACCCTAGATGTTGTTATTGGTTCTGCATTACAACATAGTGTTTAGCGCACGTAAAGGGTGGGAGTTATATTCGATGTGCATCCCGAGACCACTGTCATTTTCGATTCTGTTTCCATACCATTAACACCAAGCAAGGTTGCCAACGTTAACAGAACTAGACAACCAAATGGCTGCGTTCTTACTTTTCTGGAAGAGAACAGTATGCTGCAGTTGGAGGAAAATATTTTGCTTCATTACTACCTTAAGCTGGTGTACCACAAGGTGCTGTTCTTTCCCCTTCTATTTTTTCCTCTACTCTGCGTGATCTGCCACCCTCTGCAAAAGGCACTTTTGTTAAATTATGTGAATGGTTTTAATGCATGTGGGCCGGTCTTTCCGTAGTAAACATTGTACGATGGTCTATTATTAATGCTCTCAAACTTAATCCTTCGGGATGCTAAACCGTTGATGTAACCTGATACATGAAAAGCATTCAAAAACCTTTTTGGAATCATGAAGATTGTACTACCGAAGATTCTACAATAGACTATCCCAAATGTCACTTGCCTTGGTGCAAGTTTGTCATCCGATCTTCCTCGTTTCTCTGACGTTTGATTAATGTCGAAGTTAGTGTTTCGTCTGACATACTATATATCGAGGTAACATGTTCTTGGCACTACTCGACACATTTACGAATCATGAATTCTCTATTATTACGTGTTATCCTTTAGCATTCTCCCTTACTACTTCCTGAGCTTTCGAGAAAACGTTATGCTGTATCTTGGACAGCATCGAAACCAGCTAGTCATCTGCAACATACAGTCTGGGACATATACACACCGGTTTAAGCACCAAACGAGTGTCCGCTAAATGTACACGATATAAACTGTTATTTTACCGTCACTTGTCTTAAATACAATGCGGACTATTTACGGAGAACTTTATAAGGGTAAACTATGCATAACCAAAATATCTTTGAAGGGGGTGCCCAAGCTCCCAATTTTGGGGAAAATTTCACACATTTTGGGGAAGCCGCCATTATAAACTTTGGGGAAATGGCACAAAACCCCCAAAATTTCCCCAGACCCGGGGAAATTCCCGAAAATTTCCCCAAAAGTTGGGGTTTTTCCCAAAAACTTTGAGGAAGGCTGTTTAACTTTGGGGATTCCCCCAAAGTTGGGAGCTTGGGTGTATGTATAGAAGAGACGAAAGAAAGTTAATACATCCACAAAAGCTCCCAATTTTGTGAAAAATTTGACTCATTTTGGGAAGCCGCTATAGAAAACTTTGGAGGAATGGCGGCGAAACGCCAAAAATTCCCCAGACCTGGGGAAGTCCGCATTTACCTTGGTCAAGGTCATTTGACTTTTGGGGTTTTCAACGAAATTACACAAACTTGGGAGATTTGGCAGTTTTTGGTATGATGACACACAAGAAAATGCCACCATTATATTAGCTAAGTGATATGAGAAACTGCCGATTGATAATAAATCGAATTGTAATAGACAAACACGTCACCCTATCAACAATGTAGTGCCGAGCTTTGAGCTTACTCCAGAGATATAGACGATCCTTTGAATAGCTAAGTATTAGGATCAAAAATACTGGCAAGTAGGTCTTTTACGAACAAAGATGGCCGGAGCAGTATGCTCCAAACAAGGACTTCAGATCATTATGAATGAATTGTTTTTCTTGTTATTTGTTACTAGAATCTTATCTACAAACTCACCTTGATGTTTAACTTTTTTAGTAACAGCTCTGACAAGTCCGCGACTTCTAATAATGTTAGGGAACTGATACGATTTACAATCTCATGTATGTGTTTTGGATACTCCTTATTATCAGCACTTAAGGAAGGAGGAACTAAATCCTTATCTGCCCCCAAATTTGTTGCCATTTGCGTATATGGTTTTGCGAGGCCATTATAAAACGAACAATAACAGACGGTTTTGCCAAGCTTAAACAGGTTCATGGCTAGAATTGTGGAATCCACCACGAAACCGAAGTGGTGCGCTACCCGTCTTATTTAATATGCCCGCCCGGGATTCAAATGGTTGTGGACGGAATAGTAGAAGCTTTCGCTTAACAGGCTTGCGTGTATAACAGCAAGGGATCACCAATACTTCCGGACAAGAACCTAGGTATATTAACGATAAAAGAGAAAAAAATGAATTGGTAAATCATGGTAAGATACTATCCCTAGTCCTTAAGAATAGATCAAGTCGCCTCTTAAAATACTCCTGGGAAGTTGCTTGGAATAGCTCAGCTGGCAGCGAATTTCAGCATCTGACAACTCTTAGGGAGTAAAAGTTGTGCCTGCAGTCCGTTCTACTATGTTGTATCTCTAATTTCTGGGTGTTGCCCCTTAGGTTAGTGTTGGGACTAAGCTTAAGTAAATGGTTCAAATGGTTTAAGAGGATTTCCAGAAGTGTTAAGGATACTGTAAGCCAATAGAAGGTCACCTCTAAGACGCCTATACTCCAGTGGGTAAAGGTCAAGTGATTGGAGGCGCTCATCGTAAGGTTTAAATTTGAGTCCCCGAACTGATTTCGTGGCTAGTCGTTGGATACGCTCCAGAGTGTCCTTATCCTTTTGGAGTGATAGAGGAAATACTATGTTTCCGTACTCTAAATGGGGACGAATAAAACTGTTGGAGATTATGTGGAACGTTCTTCCGTCAAACTGGCCAGAAATGCGCTTCAATGTTACCAGTGCAAGGTTTGCTCGAAAGGCACTTTTGTCACAGTTAGCGTAAGACTTTAAGTCGTGGAGCACCAGGACTCGTAAACCTTTTTCGAATCGGGATACTACTAAAGAGGAGTTTCCTGAGTTGTAACTGTAGTCTGCGACATGTCGCAGATGGACTACTTTACACGTTGAAGTGTTAAAAGTAAGTCTGTTGTCGTCTGCCCAACTTTGAAGTCGAGTCAGATCCTCCTGAAGTGCCAGTATATCCTCTTGGTTGCGTATCTCTCTCCAAAGTTTTAAATCCTCAGCCAAAAGTGATAAGTCAGACAGTACACGTTGCGGAAGGTCGTTTATAAAATCAAGAAGAGAGGGGGTCCTAATACTGAGCCCAGGAGGACCCCACTATGACACTCCATAGTCTGAAAGTGAAATTAACCCTGACTTTCAAACGTCGATTTTTTAGATATGAAGTGACCCAGACAGTTAGATGTGATTTGATACCCAATCGTTTGAGCCTATTGATAAGACATATATGGTTGACCCTACCAAAAGCTTTTGAGAAGTCCAGATAAATGACGTCAACCTTCCCCTTGCGATCAAGGATGCTTGTCCGTCTGTTCACCGCAGTCAGCAGGTTGGTTATACAAGAATAGCTCTTCCTGAAACCATGCTGTTGGGGTGAGAAGAAATTTCGGGACAGTAAATAGTCATGTATACCATCGCATATCAGGGACTCCATGATTTTCGAAGGTATAGAGAGAAGAGCCGCCGGTCGGTAACTTGAAGTTTTGCTGCGTCGACCTCCTTCAAAAATTGGGTGTGATGTGAGCCACCCTCCGAATTTCCGGTAGTTTGCCTCGGATTACCGAGTGTGAAAACATCACGCTAAGCGGTGTCGCCAGGATTGAAGCTGCTTCCCTCAGTATAGCAGAATGGACCATATCTGGGTCAGGAGAAGTGTCTTTTCTTAGGTGTTGCAGTTTCCGCAACACCATGTCAGCACTCAGGTTCACTAAGGAAAATCCTGTGCAGTTGCAGATGAAGCTTTCATCATTGGATTGTTTGCATACTACTACGTACATCGCAAATGTTAGTTTTATAGATGACTTTTAGGTCATCAGAGTAGACGTAGGTCTTACATGTGTTAAAGCTCTTTCATATTTCGTTGATGTAAATTGTAAAGAGTAATGGACCAAAGACACTACCGTGCACATCACTAGTGGTTATTGGTCAAGGTGTAGATGCTGTAGAGTTAATCTTGGTTATTTAGTATCGTTTTGTGAGAAAAGTCTTGATGCACTGCAATAGGGGGTTTGTAATTCCAACTGACTGATGTTTATTGATTAGGAGGTTATGAGGTAGTGGAGAAGATTTGTAGCTCAGGTGGATGATTTTGATGGAGTTTTGTTCTCTGAGCTGGATGGTTTGGTCGTGGAATTTTATCGTCCTTCTGAAGTTTGTGTTGATGATGTCGTTCAGAAGAACGATGAAAGCTTCACGATCAAACCATCCAGCTCAGAGAACAAAACTCCATCAAAGGTTATGAGGTAACTTTTCACCAACCACAATTGATGTTGGTGTGACATTGTAACAGAATATCAAGTCAAGAATGTTGTGATTTCGTGTAGGCAGGTGTGCATGTTGCTGCCAACCGTTTATGTCTAGGAATCTAAGTATGCTTTCATAGCACAATCGGCCAGAATGTGTCTTCCAGTTGACAGTTGGAAGGTTGAAATCACCACAAATAGTTTTGCAGGCGAAATCAAGCTAGGCAGCCTTAGCAAAAGACTCACTTATAAGTGTCAATTGAACTGGGAGCTCGGTATGCAGATCCGATTAATATTTTACATCCATGGGTGTGTACAGTAAACCATAGCGAATATGGTAGTTTGCTGAGGGTATGGTCGCTACAAATTTGCGCCCCGATATTTTTTTATACATATACAAGGAAACCACCACCCCTCTTGATGATCCGGTCGTAGCGGAAGAGCTCATAGGTGTCTATTTGGAGGTATGAGTCTGTGATATCGGAGGACAATCAAATTTCCCTTATTGGTCGGGTCTCTAGAACCTAGCGGTTGAGAAACTAATTTTGGCTTAACAAAGAGAGGCTACATAATGGAATAAGCTTTTCGGATTGGAGACAAATTTATCGATAGGTTTTATCTGGTAATGAAGCCTGTCTTCTCATATAACCTTCGTTCATATGCTCCTTATATGTTTGTATTGCCTGTACGCGCCGCTACTGTCTGTTCGTTTGTGTTTTCATCAGCAGTGCTTTTTGCGGCTCGGCGAAAAAAGAGTGAGGTTCTTGACGGCTTAGCTCAGTTTTGCTGATAAAACTGAAGGCTATGACGGCGTGATCGCTTCTCCCTAGAGGACCCAGGATTGAGAGATTGTCAACCAGCAATATTTCGTTTGTCCAATGGAGCCTGAATGTTTTTCCAACGAGTTTCCGACTTCTCATTTCCGAATAATCCTAGATCCTGAATGAGGTTGAAGAACTGAGCTTCAGTTGAGTTTTCACTAACAATATACGTATGTTCCGCGAAATTGACTATAGAAAGATTAAATTTCCTTAGACTCAGGATATGAGTGAGGCCAAGACGCATGGAGCGGGAAAATTCTTCCAGCATACGATTATCGTACTCGATGTCATCAGTGTGCTTCCTGTAAATGACCTCGACTAGACACCTAGAGGTGGAAGACAATCTTACAGAACATCGTACGGATTCATCTAGAATGATAAACTCTTGGTTGTGCACATGATGTACCTCCAGGCACGATCGTAAGTATAGGGCTACTCTACCCCTATTTTCACTTTTTCTGCCATTGAGAAACAAAGACATCTCCGGTATTGTTAGATTATTGTACGTAAACTGAGATATCCAAACTTCAGATATTCCTATCAGATGAGTGTTATGAACATTGCCAAGATCACGTAGCTCATCCATTTTATTTGGTAAACTAGCGACGTTCATGTAGAAGTATTTTATGCTTTCACCTAGAATCGCGTGAGTTTCTCCTTCCTGTTTGTATGTATGGGCCTTATGTGAATGGACAAATAGCCCACTTACACAAGGTTTTCTGAGTCGATAGTCTCTGTCCTTTACACGTTTTTTTAAAATCAAGACAGTTCACAAGTGGAATGGTCAGCTCGAACTTACCTTCGTGTTTGAACTGGCGTCGTGTGGTCTATTCGGGTGCATTTGGATTCCAGTTGGCAACCAACGTTTGTTGGCACAAAATGCTGGGAAATATATCTTCATTAGCCGGAGTCTAGAATCTCGGACTTTCTTGGCTAGTCTCGTCACTTGTTGAGTGATTATATTTTTGAGCTTCAAGGATTGCTCGAGAACTTTCCATTCTCTAATATCAGAGTTTGTTTGTCCAGGGTCCGTGTTTTCCGGTACACCTTGCACAATGATATTTCTTCAGCGGAAAAACGTCTCACGAGATTCCTTAGGGACGTTCCGGTTGAGATCGCGCTCAGAATATGGTATATCGGGCAGCATTCTTACGTTCTCATCAGATTTCAGTAAGTGATTAGCTAGTAGGATATCCCCTACGTCGGTAGCATTCTTGATTGTTACGTGAAGTAGCCTTGGGTGAATTTGATGCTTAGATTCCTTTCCCCGAGTAAGCCGTGTGACTGTCAAACGCCGTATTCTGAGAATTCCAAGCTTCTTGTTTAACTCTCCCCAGAGCACTCTATCATTTTTGTCTTGCAAACTGAGGGGAAGATCAGGAATGTCTTTAAGGTTCAGGATTATGAGAGACTCGTGACAAACCGTTATTATTTACCAGTGTGTGTTCCTGATTCCGGACAGACATTCTTGGGGGTAGACTGTGCGGCCAAATCACAAGTTAATTTCAATACAATTCTTGGGTTGTTCAGCTTCTTGGACGGTGACGTCTGATCCTTTTTAACTTTGATAACAGGGTCCAATCTACAGAGATTTTGAGAAACACCATTGCATTCAGGGACCCTGTGCTGAAAGACTCAACTCTACTGAGGGAGTTTATAACCGTCGACTTTATGATGATGCTGAGTTTCAGCATGTCCTCACTAGTGCTATTGCATGCTCCATTGATAGTAGAGCTATCGAAATCCCTCTTCATGTTTCTATTGCGCGAATATCTACACTAGATTTCCTCCAAGTGTCTATTCTACAGGCCTTCAACACAACTCAGATCAGGAACACGTGATTAGCCTGACCACAACGTAAATTGATTTCCACCCCAAAAGCCCGACTCAATCCAACAACAATGTACAATCAATAATAAGTGATAATAATAAAGATAGGGGAACATATAACTCATCAGACACCTGTCAGACTATCTACATGTCTGACCAAGCAGAC